GGTTTGAAAAAGTAAATCCGGTATCATATTTAATTTCCATAAATTGCATATTGTAGCAGACTCAAAATACTCGCTATCTCATTTTGCTGGCAGCGTTCAAAGTTTAAACAATTATTTCTTATATTATATAATCACAAAACATTATTGAAATAGATTATTCTTATTAATAATATTTAATTGTTTTTGTTTTAACTTTAAGTTCAATGAATTTCCAATACAAATATATATCTAGTAGTGCATAAGGGAAAAAATTAAAATAAATTTAACCTATTAATTAAATTAATAACAATTTAAAGTGCGTTACATAAATTTTTTTGTCATCTTTTATTAACACAAATTAAGCATCATTGATTATATACTGGAGCCGCACAACACATACCTTTCATAAATAAACATATAACTATACTATGTAAGTACGCACGAATTTATGAGTACTTGTAAGAAACTGGAACCAACATTTGCCACGCGCGCCAGTGCCACCCAGCAGACACATATCTAATAGCTTAAGTATCAATGTACATATCTACAAATATATATATATACTATATATATGTATTGTATATTTGTTGCTTATTATACATATATTTCTTTGCTGGAGATTTTGCTGCCAATTGATGCATCTATATGTTTATATATGTACAATATTTTATGTATACACACAACGTACCAACAACAACAACACAACGATGTACCCACAAAAATGTATTTCAAGTTCAAAAATTTAATTTATGCACTTAATTTTCTTTCTTCCGAACACTACGAGTGCTGTGCGTGCAAAGCGATTTAAACACGAAAATAGAACTTGTCACTGCAAGCGTCTAAGTTCAACTGATCGTTGAGAATGCTAGCGTCTAGTTTAACAAGCCAAATAGCTAGTTGTTATCAACATAAATTGTTTAAACAAAATATACATACATACACACATGCAAGTAAGTGGTGATAAATAAAAACATATTAAAAAAATACAACGGTCGGCAGTCAGCTGAGCGATTTGGTGTTGCCAGATAAGTTTTTTGTTTTCTGAAAACCAAGTATTTTTAAAATTGAAGAATTTGCGACAACCGAAGTCTAAAGCGTCAGTCGTCATTCTCCAAAGGTGTTCATTTTATAATATATTGCAAATTGAATTTACATTTAAGAAGAGGAAGATTATGCTGGACAAATTTTCCTAGCAGTCGATGTGTGCTGTTTCCCTAAGAAAGTCTCCCTTCTTTGCAGGCAATAACAATAAAATGTTGGATCACTTAAACGTCTGTACTTTGTGGAATTCGAAACAGAATCTTTCGAATTTTCATAAACAAAAAAGAAAGATGATTCAAAAAATCCAGAAACTTGCCATCGGGCAATGTGGGTGTTATTTTAGTGAAATTGAAAGTGTGTGTTCTTCTAATGATAGTGTACAGTGGCAGACTTTGTGCCTAAAATGTATAAAACAGGTTGGTTTTATACCGTATATATTATATAATCGGCCAATATGAAAGATATCTTAGCAAAATCAGCTGAAAGTATAATATTAGATAAGTATAATATTAGATCTTATGCCGAAAGTATGTGAAATTAGTCTGCGAACTACTCCAACTCACATATATTATGCTACATATAATAATGTTTGATATTCTAAGAAACCTTATGCCAAATATGTTGTGTAAGTGCGTGAGTTATTTATTTATATATTTCTTGTAAATATACTCTCCACTACACCTGAGTAATGCTTAAGTATAATGCAACAAGCCCAGACTTTGCTTTGCCCCCAATATACCTTGTATAGTGATATCCAACTTTCCAGCGTGCTTGGCCTAAACTCATATCTCTAATATAACGAATTCCGATCTGTTATATTACCAAATTTGATTGTAATCCATTCACGATTTTGTCGAATAATAAAAATGGAATCAGAGAACGTGACTCTCGCGCCTCGATATGATGTGATTTGAATGTCACGAGGTATATAAATAAAGCAAGCACCATGCCTGGCCAGTGCTTAACTGACTTTCGTGTCTCAATGTGATGTGATTTGAAAGTCACGAGGTGCCCCCAAGGAAAGGTGGCTGTCAGCTGGCTCTATATAAATAAAGCAGTCACCGTGCCTGGTCAGTGCTTAGGTGACGCCATGTGATGTGATTTGAAAGTCACAAATTGACCTTACGGGCAGCTAGCTGGCTGGCTGGCTGTCCAGTGCTTAGGTGACTCTCTCGCTGCGATGTGATGTGATTTGAAAGTCTCGAGGTGACCTCACTCAATTTGAAACTTACTAACGTGCGTCACTTGACAAACATTTGTCTTTCCTTAACTTTCAGTTCGCTTAAATTGTTGATAAAAACAAGAAAAAACGTTAACTTCGGGGACCGTAGCTATAATACCATTCACAGATACAAAGGTTCTTTACAAAAACTTGATTCCGTTCGTTCAGTTTGTATAGTAGCAACGTATGTTGCCTTTTACATTTCGGCAATAACCACTTGGCGACCCTAGTGTAGCAACCTAGCAACTCACAACTTTATTGTGAAGGTCGTCCAAAATCAGTTTTTATTCCGGAAACTAAACTGATACTGCAAGATCGTCATGTGACCTATCGTGAGATTGAGATACCTAGTATGGGCGTTAGCCGGACCAGCACACATTCAACATTACATGAACATTTGACTGTAAAAAATTTTTGTTCATGTTGGATCTTACATAATTTGTCAATCGCTCAAAGAAAGGCTTGTGTCGGTTTATATATATTTTATAAGGTCTCCGACGTGTCATTATGGGTACTACAAACCACGTGACAAACTTAATATACCCTGCTCAGATTAGAAATATTACAACATAATAATTATTCTTTTGAGAAAATAAACGCCAATAGCTGTCTATTTTTTTCATTAAGAATAGTTTAAACGAACAAATAATAAAACAAAATAATAATAATAAGAAATTAAGCGTAAAATAAGGTTGTTTACTTGGCTAAAGGTAAACAACTGTTGTGGACTAGGATAAATGTAAACAAAAGGGGCATTAACCTTATAAAAACCATAAAGGGGTCGTTGACCTCCGCGAAATTTAAACAAATAGGTCATTGACCTTATTATGTAAACAAAGAGTTCATTGACGGCATAAAATGTAAACAAAAGGGTAATTGAACCCAACTGTAAACAAAGGTTATGGACTTGGCTAAATGTAAACAATGGTTGTGGGCTTCGCTAAATGTAAACAAAGGGGTCATTGATAATGTCGATAAGTTTTACTACACCTGAAAGTATTTCCCCTGCTTTGATCCTTGCGAATTCTAAGAGTATAAAATGTTCGGTTACACGCGAACTTATCCCTTCCTTACTTGTTATGTTTTAGTTTCATGGAGTGTCTTGATAAAGTTTGTACTTATTCATACACATAAGTATAAGTACTACACATATGTAAGTATATACTTCTGATTTGAGTACCTCTTAACAGCAATCTGCTAATTTATTGTAGTGCCGCTTATCAAGGATTAACAACCAAGATATTACAAATCCAATAAAATAAAGTCGTGTCTATAAAGTTTTATGCACTTTACATACATACATAAATACATATAACATTTATACTCGTATAGCACTGCATTATAGTACTTGAGGGTATATAATGACATGTGCACTTCTGATGACTACACATTTGGATAGATTACTATTCTATTGGACCTGTGAAGCCCATTGTAGAAGGCTGGCATGAAAATTCAGCTGATAAATACAGTTTAATTATTAATATCTGTTAAATAATGTAGAAAACAAAAAAACATATACTTTTTATAAATTTAAAAGGTATATGAATAAATTTGGTAATAATATTTGGAAAAAATCGATTTTAATTCTTTATTAAACCATATGAATATCCATCGCTGATCTTTCAGAAAATTACAAACTACAATTTAACACATAAGGAAGGGCTGAATACTAGTGTAACCGAATAAGGAATAAGTGTACCAAGTTTCATCAAGATATCTCAATTTTTCATCCGGATTTCAACTCGTCTCGTCATCCTAATAATTTATATATAATATATGGTATATAACTCTATATCTATTTCGACTAGTTTTAGATGATACAAACAACCGTTAGGTAAACAAAACTATTTTTCTCTGTAGCAACATGTTGCAAGAGTATATAAATTGTAAAATGTTTGAAGCGTTCTGTATATTAACTCTGTGTTATTTATCACTGTAGATGTCGCTTTGCTGTTAGTGAAGACAACCTCCGCAGAGAATGTTAATAAATAAATAATTCATTAACTTTCTCTGTTTTGTGGTTTTCGCTTGACGGAAAATCGAAAAATATAACTTCGAAAAGAAAAATACACCACGCAATATCAGAGAACGTATATTAATTATATTAATTATATTATATTATATATAATATACGTTCTCTGCTTCAATAAGCAAAGGATAACAATAAAAGCAGATAATGTTAAAAACTATTAAATAACATTCTCTGCCCCTACCCTCAGGAGGGCTTAGAAGTCTGGCCGTGAAAAAAATGTATCTGCTAAAAATTTTCCCCAATCCAAAAACTTAATAAAAAAATAATCCCAACCGACTCTGCAAACAATGCTTCGAGAAAAACGCGTTAAAAGTTTTGGGAGCAAATTTCACTAGGTTAAAAAATTCTTACAAATATCTCCGAAACTATTTGCCGGATGAACCTCACATTTTCGACGAATATATGTACAAACATAAAAATAATTTTTTGGAATTCCACAAATGGATGTAACCCCTTAAATGGGGATCGTTATAATAAATTCATTACTATCACAGATATTAGCTGGATAAATTTAGAAGAAATTATTTTTCGAAAATGACATCTACAACCACTGAGACAGTATTAGAAGTCAACATCTTTTCGATGTTAAGCTTAGCTTGTGCTCGAATCCGATTAATAAAAGTGTCCTAGAGGGAGCGCAGCGCCCTTCATAAATAAATAAATATATCTGTTATGTAAAGCTATCCCTTTCGCCACTTAAAAACAACACCAAATTTGGATTTTCGCATTTTTTTATCAATACATATTTAAGTTTATTGTAATTGCTTACGACAAATTTGTAAAATTTACGCTGACAATATGTACAATAAAATATATAATATACACGTAAACTCAAAAATACATACAAGTATATAAAATAATAATTATAACACATATAAAGAAGCTTAAGAGCACTGAGGACGATTCTTTCTCCGAAATTTCAATTAAAACATAAGTGGAAAAATTGTAAAATAAAATAACTTAAATTTATACAAAAACATAAACTTCTACATACATATGTACGTGTATGGAGTGAAACAAAAATATACAGTTATAAGGTGTTTGTAATCACAAAGCAATTACAACGCTGAACCGCCGCGATTACAACAATCAAACGCCACAAGTTAGCGCTGTAAGTGCGTAAGAGACAGCTAGATAAGTGAAGTAAGCTGAATAGTTTACAGTTATGTATGTTTTTACATTTCATCTCATGGAAAAGAACTTGGAGGAAGTTATCAAATAAACAGGAGTAGAAATAGTTTTGCAAAGAAATTTTCGCGCCTTAGTTGCGCTTCCTCAAAGCGAGACGGGCGTGTGGCAGACGTCTCGCTTGCTCTTTTGGTTCTTGTTCGGACTCCTCGGCGGCGGCATCATCGGCGGGCGCTGGTTCGGGCTTGCCGGGTTTCGCCAATTTGCGACGGTTCACTGCGTATTAAATTTAAATAAAGTAAAATTATACACAAATGCCACATAAAAGTATAATAATTATTTGCTATTATCGCTGAATACTCACAGGCTGAATTGCCGGCTTTCAAGCCTTTCGACGATGGTGCTGGCGCAGATTCGGCACCTTCATCACCGTCCTCGTCGTTAGAGGGCGCTGGCTTGCTCTTTGGTGTTGGCTTCTCAACAGCTGTGTGTAGTGAAATACATACAAGTATAACAGTAATTAAGTAAAAAAACGCTTATCGATATTTTTTGTTGTTTGTTGTTGGTTCCACACTTACATCTGTGTTTCTTCGCGTCTTGTTGGCGACGTTTCAGCGAGTTCAAGAAGTCATCGTTCGAGCGGAATGGCCGAATGACTGGTCCTATCACTTTTTTGGGTGCTTCTGTAGTTGTTGTAGTGCTGCTTGTGCCCAAGCCATCCTCATCGCCCTCCTCACCCTCTGCAACACCGCCTTCACCGTCATCGTACTCATTGTCCTCCTCTGGTGCGGCTGTTGTTGTTGTGGTTTTTGCCACCTTACCACCGACTGGGCGCCGTAATGCCGGCCGCTTTGGACCACTTGGCGCAGCGCCCTCCTCTTGCGCGTATGTGAGGGATAAGCAGCAGGCCAACGCTAGAACGACCAGCAAAAGTGTGCTGCCAATGGAGAATAGAGAGGAGAATTATTAATATTTAACAAATTAAATAAACATAAACGCCAATACTTGTACATGGCTAAAAAAATTTCGTACAAACTAGTTTGGTGTGGCCATAGAGTGGTCAGCTTGTGCGGCAATTATTGTGGAATTTTTTGGCTGCCGCTGCATTAACGGCATTAACAAATTCAAGTAATAAATAAAAAAATAAGCGAAAGAAGTAACCACACAATAACACAACGCCGTATGTGCTGAAGGTTCAGTTGTGCTGGTGAAGGACGCAGCTGCCTATGATGGCGATGACGATTAACTGAAAAAAGTTACGTATACGCTACGGTGGCGGCGCTGGTGACGCTGGCGTTGCGGTGCCGCGGCCGCGTCTAACTGTCGTTCACTAAGTTATTAGCGCGCTTATAACCTGCTGCACGCCATTTACATTTACTTTGTTGTTGTTGTTGTTTTTCTTGCTGTTGGTCAACTTAGCTGTTTCATTTAGCTGCCGCACTTAGCAACGCCACAAAGCCAAGTCCGAATTTAAAAAGTGCTTATGCAAAATAACCAGTTTCAAACAACGGTTAAGCGCAACAACAACAACAAAACACAATTAACATTTTCTGGTTTGGTTTGAACAAATGCATTTGCATTTCGATTAATAATAAAGTACATAGAATAATAAAAAAGTATCTATTGGTATGCAAGCATACACATATGTGTATATATACATGTATGAGTATATATACACACACGCGCATATACGATATATGCGTAGACATTTGTTCTTCAGCGCAGAATAACCGTTTCTAACATGCCTTTCGTCGCATTTACTGCTATTCTGTTGACCGCTTTTTCCCCGTTACTTAGTAGCAGCGGCACGTCTGTAACAGTTAGAGCGATAAATAATGCACCTACATACACTTTGGATTGTGCAACGCTAGCTGTTGAAGCACCGAACAGCAGCCAAAGTCAATAGTCAATGCTAGCTTGAAATATTCCAGCTGTTGGCCACAAAAGTCTTTTCCTCCCATGTACGAGTAGGTATACTATATATGAGTAGTATACTATATACTAGTATGTACGTTCAACATTTTGCAAGAATATTTGAAGCTCACAACACAATCAATGGAGAGATTTTGATAATATGTGAATGTTTTCAGAGGTGAATTTCATTCATTTTCAATAGCTGTCTTTGATTCGCCAAGCGTTACTCTCCAGCGAATCGAACAAACTACACCTAATGCTCAAATATATGGGCAGCACTTGTGGTGCAACCCTGCGCTAATATGTCTTCTAACGCATGCGCTAACACTAGTGGAGACCCTTTGTTTTGGTTTTCCATAAATTACTATAATTGATTTTAAATCGTTTGTTTTAAAAATACACTTAAATAATGAAATTTTTAATTTCATTTGTTATTTGAACCATTTACAATAGTAAAAGTGAACTAAAATATGCAAACCAAAGCTTTGAAGTTAGAAGTTATACCATTTTAAAGAGGTAGCCACATACTCTCCTGCTTCAATTTAACTTGATCTTTTTTATTGTTGCTTTAATATGTCGAAGACTCTAATCGAAGACTGCTAATAATAATACAACCTGGTCTAAATTGAGTGTAAAAATACCCGATAGTTCAGTTGCGCAGAAGCTTTCGTAAAAATTCCAGAAATATATTTTTAACTTATTTAAAGCGGATTTGAAACCAAAGCAAAGGAAAAATTTTAACAGGAACATTATTTGTCTTAATTGGTAGCATATAAGTAAATAATAGACCTTTTTGTAATATGTCAAAGAGAAAAATAAAAATATGAACCTGCTTTATAACTGTTAGCAGACCTCACAGATTTGATTACATACTGCATCTCACCATAAAAAATGTTGGCAACTTTTTAATTAAAAAAAATGCAAAAATAGTCAATTAGAAGTGTATTTAATATGATACGTATTAATTTGAAATAATTCTTTGCTTAAAGCAGAATAAGCAATGTATTCACAGTTTTAACAATTGGCGCATAAATTAAGAATCACGCTGATGTACCAAGCTTCAACATAAACTACTTAAATACAATTTGTAATATTTTGCTTTGTAGTTGTAAATTTTACTTCTTCAATGTGTAGAAACTCTAATACAAACTATTTATAAATGAATTTTCCACGCATAGTTTGGCAGAAATTTTGAATTATTTTTAATTTTTAATTTATTCTTATCTACTTGGTAACTCTACTTCAAATAAGTACATATAAGAGTCATCTCAAACAACTTTTATTCGCGGTTTTATTTGAAACAACTAATAAAGCTCCTCAGGAACTCATCTACTCAGATTTAGCAAAATTCAGAAAGTACAATTAATCTGAGGGACAAGGTATTGTTATTAGTATTATAACGCAGAATTTTGATATTTTTAAATCAGTTGTCTAAAACTATGCTGAGCTGAATTGAGAATTTCACCTGCCTTAGAACAAAATATAAGAAGAGGGAGCATTATATCAAACACAAATCGATACGTGTATCTAACATGCAGTCCCAAATAACTTTGAAAGTAAAGTTGGTTGCGATGTTGCTTGGTGAAAGACTTTTTTACATAATTTATTTTAAAATAAATTAAAGCGAATTATAAATATATATATTTTTTCGGTATTTTTTTGTTTCTTTTTTACTTTTAACTTGCAAATTTCATAAAAATACAAAATATTGTTATTGTTTTTTGTTTTTTAATTTTATTTGCATACTTTTCTGTTATTATATGAAGTTTTTTAATTTAATGAGTTGTCAACATTCTCATTGAACTTCAGCGGCTCAATACTATTACAACTATCAATTTGTCTTAAAACACCAACAACTTTTTACAATTTTCATTTAAAACACATTGGAATTAAATTACATTGCATAAGAAGCCACCGGTTAAAGCCATTTGAAGTAAATAAATGTGAATATGTTTGCCTGAATGCGTGTAAGTATGTGTGTATTTTTGTAAGCAGTTATGTGAAGACAATTGGAGCCTGCTCTGAATTAAAAAAAGGAAAAAAAATCTCAGGCATTCACGCCACTGCAAACATGTATATGTGTGTGTGTATATATATATATGTGTGTGTGAATGTGTTTAGTATGGTTGCGTGCGTAGAAATTCCCAGGAAATGTATACAACAATAACACAACGAAACGCCACAAGCGGTTGACCTCAGGGCCAATACATTTGGCGACCTGTTTCTACTTCTACCGGCTGCAAACACCTTTCCAACAACTTCACTTCGCGCCATTACAATTGCAAATCACATCACTTTACATCACACCACGCCATGCCGCACAAAAGACACAGCTAATTTCATTTCGATGGACACTTGGACGGACAAATTAATGATCGCAATCATGTGCCTGCACGCTTGCTATTATTGTGCTTGAAGTTAGTGTTGTTGTTGCTGCTGCTATTGTCATTGATCAAGTTACATAACAAAATCGCTGGTGTACCTTCATCGGCGCTCAGCGGCTTGTGTGTGTGTGTGTGTATATGCGCCGCAGCTTTTTGAGCATTTTTCGCCCGCACGTCACAATTAAACGCCGAGCGTGAAAGAAGCAAATAAAAGAAAAAACAAATCACAAATGAAAAACACTTAATTGAGTATTTAGTGTCATTTGTATGCGTCGATGGCAGCCAGCAGTCGGACGCTGCCGCACAAATTAGATTTAGCGCGAAGAGACCACAAATAGAAATGCGCGCTGAATACGAAGTGTTGTTGCATTTTTGTTTTGTTTTTATTTGTGTAATTTATTTTCTTTAGTTTTATTGCTATTAATTTATTGTTGAAAAAACTAACTATTTTTCCATTTGTGCTCGTCGCTTGACATTTCGGCTGCTCGTGCAACCGGTTTAACCGGGTGAAACATAGAAAAAAGGTGCCGCGTACACATGAACAGCTTCTAAATGTCTTTTAATGGCTATGCATTGCTATTGTTGTTGTTTATTATTACTACTTTTTTGCGAGTAAGTAAAGAAGTAACTGAATTTAATGGCACAAAGCAGCAGTGCATACGCATACACATACATACATGTATCGAACAAGAAATTGTTGAGCAGAAGACAAATTGTTGTTGTTGCAAAAATTGATTGGTTGCTGCTTTGGCGATTTCAGCATGCTGCGTTGTTTGTTTGTTTTGTTGTCGCAAGCACACATTCTTGCAGCCTAACACACACACACACACATATACTTAGTTATAGTATTATCTATTCTATTGTTGCTTAAAGATACCTATAAAGCAATCGCAAGAAATAATAAGAAATATATATGTACATATATATGTGTGTATGTGTGTTTGTACACAGTTGTTTATGAGTATCCAGCTTTGCTTGCAAATTAACCTGTTATATAATCTTGGCTGCAAAGCTATCATTAACGTCATCAGCAGTAAAAATCCCGCACATACACACACACATACATACATAAACACATTTGTATGTTTTGCAAACCAGTTAATACCGCATTCCGTTTAATAATTTTGGTGTTCATCGGTGCCTGTCGTCAGCTCAGCCGGCTTAAGGAATATTTTTGACGAATTCTCACTTTTTTCCCAGCAAGTTTATCTATTGGTGAGGTTAGGGCGTGAAGTTAGAGCGGCAAGTGGTAATAACTCTATGTTGATGATATTAATGGTAGCTCGAAGGGTTAATTACAAATATGTTTGGACATTTTTTAACCAATTAACTGGAGTGCAGCGCTCAAAGTTGAAAGAGTTTGTAAGGCATACTCCTCCACTAATAGTTTTTTTTTTTAAGTTTGATTATAATTAAGTTAAACTTTAACCCGAGCAGTGTTACCACCTCAACTCTCTGCATTAATGCGCTGCTTAGCGCTCAGCAGTTAGTTGCTGGTCATTATAAGCAAAGTACTTGTGAGATCCGAATAATTATTTGGCCATAGAGTAGGAAAGGTGAGTCACTGAGTAGCTCCATATACATAAAGTACATATTTATAATATATGTATATGTGTGTAACGGCATGCAAGAAAAGCTT